GGGCAGGGGAAGGAGCGGGGGGGTCTCCCGGATCTAGGGGGAGCGGGCCGGTGGTTGGGCACCCCTAGGATCACTTGCCGGCCCGAAGTGGGAGCGGGCCGGGGGGCCTTGTCCCCAGCCCCCGGCCTCGGTGCCTTCCCGGGGACGGCGTGAGGCTGCGTCTCCAGCACGGCTGAGGGGAAGGGTCCCCACTCGCTCGGCGGGTACCTGCGCCCTGGGGTGCCCTGCCCTGCGCCCCGATTGCCTCGGCCTGGGAAATCCCTTACTTCTGCTCTAGAACGCCTTCCCCTCCCCCACCCCGCTTTCGGCAACGTTGTTTGACTTCCAAGTGATTACTTATCTGCACACTTCCTCAAAGACAGGTGCTCCTCAAAGTCTTTGCCTTGAGGTTTCCTTGGTCTGCGTTTAAACAGAAGAGTTGTTGCAATGTTCTGTGAGTCAGCTGTAGCGCTTGGTACCAACACTTCCTGCGTCTTAGCAAATCTTCTCTGCCTTGTTTGTGCAAATCCAACAACACAAAAAGTGTGGTCTTCTGCAGGTGGTGGTGTCGCTTTGTCTGATTCTTAGTCTTGTGCTTTTGGCTCGTTACCTTACCTATCTTGCCTTCATGGCATTGTAAGGTGGGTACCACAACAGAAGGCTGTTGCTAGATAAGGCTTAAATTAAGGTAGGGAGGGGGGTTTATGTGCCTTTAAGATACGCTGCGCCCAGTTCGACCATTAAAGATCCCGTGAGACTGTTATATGGATTGGGGACAAGGAGGGGGAGGCCGACCTGTACCTTCCTGCCCAAAATGCCCATTCTGTGTATTTGTATGAAGTTGGCTTCATTTTCTATGGGTCTTACATGTGCTGCAAAAGACATTCAGGCACTTCTTTAGCTCTCCTTTAAGCCCCAAAGCAGAGAGGGGCGTTTCCAAATGAGGGTTGAGTTTGCAGTGGCCGCTGGGCACTACGTGCAGAAACAGAGGTTAAGCTCTTTGGAAGATAATCCCTCACTTGTATGCGTTTGAAAATTTGGTCTTGATCTATTTACGTGGTCTCTCTTAGATCTGTGATTTGTCTTGGGATTGCCTAAATATGAGAGTTACTGATAAAAGAATAACATCATTTATTTATCCAGTGTTGGGAAAAACTTGCGTTGTGGAATGAGAGACTTTTGGAAATGACCTGTTTGTTAATGATTTCCTGGTACTTGTTGCAGGAGCAGGATGTATACTCTGCTGTCTGGACTCTATAAATACATGTTCCAGAGGGATGAGTACTGCATCTTGATCCTTGGTTTGGACAATGCTGGTAAAACCGTAAGTGCTGTTTATCACCAATTGCGTGGAGGGCACACGCGATTCTAAACATCTGCCAGAAGTAAAACTTCCAGCAGATGGGGCAATCTTTCTCTGGCTGTATTGCGAGTTATTTGAGTGATGTCACACCAAAGAATCAACTTTTCCCTCTTACTTAAATATAGCATAAGCTTTCAGGGATGTAACTGAGGCTTTGGTAATCCTGTAATCACCTGTGATCCCTTCTTTCCTTGCTAAAATAGGGAACAAGAAGAGTGGTTTGTTCCAAGGTCAGGTAGGGCAGTATCTGTTGGAGCAGGATTCTGCAGAAATGAAAAGGCAGATTTGGGTTAGGATTACCCCAGCCAGTAAAATATTTGAGAGTAAATACTTTTTCTTGTTCCTTTTCAGACCTTCCTTGAACAAACTAAAACTCGATTTAACAAGAGCTACAAAGGGATGAGTTTGTCCAAAATCACAACCACTGTGGGCTTAAACAGTAAGTAAATCTGTTTGGAATTTTTTCAGCTTTCCTGCACAATTAGAAAACAGCTGGTTCTTGTTTGAAATATTTAAGAATTGACAAGGGCAAAATAGTTCCTGGAAGCAGAGTTCGTATCTCCCAACACCCCAGGTCTTTTTGTAAGAGAATAAAACAGGCTTGCTTCGTTTATGAGGGGAAAAACCCTGAAGCCTTAACAAACCAAGTATCCCATGTCAGTGCTATGCTCAGAGGTTAAGCTGAATTTCACCGGAGTTCATTTGTGGGCCTGATTCTGATGTCATTTGCACTGATTTGCGCTATCTGACATTAGTGGCCACTCTTTGCAAAGGTGTTGCTCTGTTGTTGAAAGTAGCTGCTGTATGGGATTTGTTCCTCTAGAAGACTCTTCTACCCCGGATGTCTAAGGGGGGTGTGCAGGTGTTTGTGCTTTAGAGAACACCCTCAGTTTTCATTGCGTCGTTTTTTCTTCTTTCCCTCTAGTTGGTACTATTGATGTTGGCAAAACTCGGCTAATGTTCTGGGATCTTGGCGGACAGGAGGAGCTACAGTCTCTTTGGGACAAGGTTAGAGATGTATTTTTTTTCTTTTAGAAATGTTTTTGTCTCATTTAGAATTGAAGCAGTATGATCATTTCATAGTCATACAGGCTCATGGGTAACCCTAGTATTTAGCATCAACACTTTTCCAGAGATTCAACTACATCTGTGCAAGATTAGCAAAGATAATGCTTAATATTTGCATTATTGTTTACGGACAGGAATTACCAACCCTATCTGAGGGTTGTGCCAGTACCGATAAGATTTTTGGGGGGACAGGTAAGCTTTTTTAGCTGTTGTACTCAGTAGGCCTGCAAACGGAACAGGCAATGCATTCTGTGTGCCGCCAGTCTTCCCTCCAGACATATACTATGGAAACAGCTGGCTCTAACTGGTTGATCTCTTCCATGTGTATCAAAATTTTACCACATTTAACAAAAAAAATCAGGAAGAGGCACAAATGGTCCTAGCAGGTAGATACACTAATATCTGTGTTATCTTTTCAGTATTATGCTGAATCTCATGGAGTGATCTATGTTATTGACTCCACTGATGAGGAGAGGCTCTCAGAATCTAAAAGAGCTTTTGGTGAGTCCGTGGTGTTTTACCTGTGCTGTGATGTCACGATGTGTTGTGGCACAGTTCTCTCATTACTATCATGTCTGTTCCTGCATCCTTGGCGTAAGATGTGTGGCCTGCTGATGACACATCTGTAGTGCTTTTGCACTTTTTTGTTAAAGTCTGTCTCGTCTGTAACACGGGACTCACTTTTGTTGCCTGTAATGGCCTTGAATCTCTTTTTGTGCTTATGCTAACGATTTTGGAATTTTTATTCCTTATTCTATATTTATCACCTTGTTCATTCTCAGTAACATGCTGGTTGATCAAAATTAAGTTTGATCTGGGAAAAATTGTGTGAAGAAAATAGACCCGAAAGGTTGTACGGAATGAAACTGTAATGCAAGAAGGAGCCTCTTGCTTCATCCCTATGTCCAGATGGTCTGTGTCCAGCACTTGCACAACTTTACCCTCCAGAACTGGCTAAACCTCTGTTTTTGTTTCTGTGCTTTATAGAGAAGATGATTACCAGCGAAGCTCTGGAGGGGGTTCCCATTCTGGTGTTAGCTAACAAGCAGGATGTAGAGGTAAGATTATTGCAGGTTTACTTCTTAAGTGAGCAAACAAGCCTTGGACAGGTGAGCTCTGCATTCATGCTAAATTTCTTTCACATTTCTGGACTGATCCTATGGTACTTTCCCGCTGCTGGAAATAATTAGTTTGAATTTAGTTTTAATTTTCCCCTTTCTCTTCCAACCCTTTTCCAGTGGCATACGTGAGCTTACTGCAGGCACATCCATCTCAGCTCTTCTGAACTTTTTGTGTAAACAGAACAGACTACGTAGCTATGCTGGTCTTGTACCGTGACTGGGTATCTTGATACTGTTTTTTCCTGTTTATTCAGCAAAAATATGTTTAGTGCACTTTGTTTATGCTGCTCTACTCTTACCTGGGAACAGCACAACAAATGTATGTGAAGCACTATCATCCTTTTCCCATAACCAGATAAGATCTGTTCAATGAAACATTCTGTTTGTCCTAAACACTGCCCGCAGTGAATGGCAAGGAATACTTTTTCTTCATAGTATAATTTGAATTCTTTCTAGCATATCCAGGACTGCAAAGCTCTTGTTTGGTATTTGACAAGTTAGTGGGCACTACAGTGTGACTGTTCAGGTGACGCATCCAGGGCAGTCCTCGTCTCCCCTGGCATGGCAAAAAGGGACCAGAGTGCCTAAAGTGTGCGTGGTATTTTCCATGTTTTCCTCCTCCTTTCCATGCCCTTGTCCCTGGAATTCCAGTACTGCAGTTCGAGTGGTTAATCTCTAGATGGAGCCAGAGACTGTCAGTAGAATTTGGAGTACCAGCCCTGGCAGCTGTGGTGGGTGTCTGTTTCAAAGTATGCTAATACTTCCCAGCTTCTTTCCCTGGACTTTACACCTATCTCAGTGAGTGCACTTGTAGGAAATACTTGAGACTTACATAGAAATCACTTTGGCTTTCAAGGAGGATTTGGTTGTGCTTCATGTGTTCAACGCAACAGATTTTTTTGGATGATCGTAAGATTATCTAGTCATAGAAATAAAAGAAATGTAGTTCCACTTAGACAGCGTGAGAATGAGACAGGACTTCTGGTTTATGGCCCTGACTTCACTGTGATCTCTGGTATGTGTGGAAGTTGGCTGTCTTTTCTGTGTGGAAACCAGAATATTAACTCTCAGATTTCCATGCAACACTACAGCTTTACAGCAGGGAGCAGTCTGCTCTCTTGCCTTTAGTTGTTGAGCATTAAACTGCATGCAGTGACCTGGAAAGCTGTTCCAATTTTCCTTATGGCTGTATATGCATATTTTGTTATGGGCATACTGCAAAAGCCAGCTCTTCTGGCACCCTAGCCAGACTAAAGAAAAATGGTTGAACAAGTGGACTTCTTTATATGACTAGAAAGAGGTGTTTGGAACAGGCTCTCAAGATAAAAACTGTGCATGAGTCCTTGCTCCTTCTGGAGGGTCCGAGACCAGCCCAGACATTCAGTGCCTTTATGCAGTCCTAGAACAAGAGATTAGCAAAACTGTACCGACTGGAGGTGGACCTATTTTTAACAAATACCTAAATTGTATATTTAGAGGTCTATTCCTAGAGTATGATCTTGGATATGGACACAGAGCAGAGGGACATCAATGCTATTAATAAAACATTAAAGAGACTACAGCTTATTTTTCAGTAATTACTCAGGCTCCCTTAAGCAAGGTTTAGAAAACTGGAAGGCCTGTTTCTCTTCCACTGATCTGGCAGAATTGAAGACGTCTGGAAGAAAATGGAATGTTACAGGATTGTCATTGGTAGAGATTTTTCTGCTCTGGATTCCCAGACTACACTATAGTTGTAGTGGGGAATTCTCACCAGCATCCCTCTGTCGTTAATGTGAATCATGATACGGGAGGATAACTGGTATCTTAACCTTGCTGGTATATGCGGCTGAAAGATAATTCATGATGATTACATCTTTAAAGGCCAGCAGAAGGCTTGTGGTGAAATACATCAGAAGTAGAAGGTCTGACAGTTGTTTTTTTTTTTAAAGTTTATACTCCTCACAATAAGTTTACATTCCTCACAATAAGCTAACAAAAGTTCTGGCTCAATGCCTGAAATGCTTGAAATTGCATGAAGTGTAAGATTTTTTTAGCCCTGATGCTAAATTCGTTGTAGAAAAGAATTCTGCTGTTAATAGGCATCACTACCCTCGGGTGAATTGCAGCCACGCAGCGCTGCCAAGCGTGAGTGGTGTTTGGCCATATCAGGGCATGACATACAGTCATAGACTGTAAAATACCAATTCTAATAGCATGACAAAAGTGTATATGATTTTTTTTTTTGCACCAGGAGAATGCTCTGTGTTTAGCAGGGGCTTCAAAACTGGATCATTTTGTAATTAATTAAAAGACTGGGTCAAAGGTGTGTTGGGGGAAGGAGTGGGATCTTTTTTAAAGGAACTATTGCTTTGTAGGGGAATTAAATGTCTACTATATAATAATTCATGTGGACTCCCTTTCAAGTCAGAATGCCGCTTTTGAAAATATTACCTACTGCTCACTGCAGAAAAAGCTGCAAAATAGGAATTTATATTTGCCGTTTTGATGTGAATGCAGCTGTTTAAAGGTTTATAAAGGCTATCAGCTAAAAGCTGTACAAGGAACTGTTAAAACTTGAGGATAGAATGGCTTGTTTTGCAAGACGATTAAAAATACTGGAAAAAGTGATCTGAAAAAATAGCATATGAAAATAATCGGGTGTTGTATGAGTCTTTGGGAGGAAGTTTTGCCTTCCTAATTTAAGATATATTCTGGAAATTTAATGTGACATCTCCAGAGCGTTGGAAAGCCTCCTCGTGTCTTTGGAAAATGAGAGGAGTCATGGTGAGTAGCAGCATATACTTGAAGACTCATAGTGTTATCTGTTCTCCACACCGTTGTTAGAAAATAGGCCTTCTGCATGACGGCCACTCTTAATTTCCAACTTAAGAAATACTACAACTTCCCTGTAAAATTAGTTTTGATTTAAATAAGCTTGTTTTAATTTAAACAAGCTTAAGTCTTAATTTAAAATAAGCTTGTAAAAAAAGATAGCACAGGACATAGGTCAAGTTGGTTACACCTTTTATTAAATAGTTTTACTTAGGCTATCCACCTTTCTGTTGTTTCTATTTTAGTTCCGTTCTGCCAATCGATTACTCTTGAGATGGCTGAAGGGTCAATACTTCAGGTGTTGTCCTGATCTGAGGCCAGGCAGCAGCATTGTCTTTCCTGCAGTGGATTTGGCAAATGGATAAAGACTCTACAGCGCAACCTTTTTTGCCCCAAACAGCCACACGTGCTTTTCTGCAGGTGACTCCAGAAATGGAGCCTTGCTGCTTGATATATTTCTAGGTGTACCGTTCCCCAGTCTTAATTTGGGCAATCCTGTTCTGAACCCTTCAATAGAGGAATTTGGTTGTGCAGGCAGGTCAGTCCTGGCTAGACTGTGCCTTGAAGAGCCTTCATGACAAGATGGCTTGGAGTGCGTTCTTTTGGGGATGTTGAGACAGAAATCTGATGTGTCAAGTTGTGTGAGTTTCCTCTGAAATGTGTGCTGGATAACATCACTCCAGAAAGGTCATCTGTGGTCATTTTATTATTGTAATGGAACAGTTTTTATGTGATCACAAATCCAGCTTCCCTAGTTTGCTCTTGGTTTATGTGGTTTCAGTTGAGAAACAAAACACATCTATAAACAAATATTTTGTAATGTAGATAGGGAGGTGGAAAAGAGGGGAACTTAGAAGCTGCAGCTGACATTTTCTCCCGAGCATGAGAAGCTCAAATGCTCCTAGTTGTGATGGGTAATCTGCCTCATCCTCTGTGGTAAGGCAAGATTCCAGCTCATGGCTTCCCCTTGAACACTAAAACAAGGCTTCTCTGAATTGATGGTTCAGTGGTGCTGTCCCCTCTGCTGTGTTGCTGTACTTCATCCCAAGGGGAAAAGGACGCTCCTCAAAACCGGTGTAGTGTCGTGATGCGGTGAGATCCTACTATAAACAATGTAAATGGTGCAAAGGCTCCTCAGAAGCAAAACTCTTTTCTGGTGCAGATTTCTATGGAGAGCAATGGCTGGACAGCTTTGTGCAAGTTAGGGCAGGCCACGATTATACCGGGGGGGGTGAGAAAGGGAAGCGATTAAAATAGATTAAGCTGGGGGAATAAATGGCCACAGCAGCTGTAAGCGGCACTGGGAAAAGCGGACTTCTCAAAGGCCTCAAAGATGGAGAAGGTGAAGGAGGTGGATTCTCTGTGCCGCTGGATGCGTGCAGGTGTACTGCTCTGCTGGTGGGTTTTGGGAAGTCCATCGCCTGATTGCTCTGCACAGGCCTCTGCAAGTGGAAGTAAAGGACAGCATGACTATGCTCTGCGCTGTTATTTCCTACCTTGAACACTTTCTCTCAGGTTTATTTTAAAAAGATTTAAAAATATATCATCATTCAGAAAAGGAGACATTATTGTACTATGATATTAAACTGCGATAAGCTTAAAGTCTATTTCAAGAAACGTTCGCTCAGTTTCAGCTGCCTTGGGATTTAAGCTTCCTGCTGCCAAGTTTCATTTACTGAAAAAACATAATGACATGAAAAATAGCTCAAATTACTGACATGCAGCTCTTCTTCCTTCCAAGTTGTTGGGTAACTGACTTCTCTAGAGCTCTGGCTTAAATCAAGAGGCAGTTGAACCTGCCTTTCTTATTTGGCAGTGAATGTCATACCAAAACGAAAGACGCATCTTTTACAAACTTGTAGAGAATGGTTCTTTGGTAGTAATCTCTTGCCTGTCTTTGAGACATACTGGTATGAATTCCAACTCCCAAGTCCAGGCTGACTCCCTCTAAAGTTAGTATTTGATTTTTAAAAAAAATTATTTAACCGTTTACCCTGTGGATGACAGCTCATCTTTATGAATTGCAGGTTTTTCATTTGGCAGAAATCCTCAAGTAAGTTGTTAGGGCTTTGGTGCGATGAAGTAGGTAACATTTCGGGATACAGTTTCCAGCACATTGATTGAAACTGCAAGTTTGAAATGCAACTTAGGTCATAAGAAAGCACAGTCATCGCAAGTTGCACAACTAATGGATTCTAGGCCCGTCACAGTGGAAAATCACAAGTCTGGATTTGAGGGCACTGGGTGAATTGGGTGTCATTAAACTCCTTTCAAGACATTTTTTAAGAATCCTTCTTATTTATGAGCACTGAAACCTGCTTATTTGTCACATGGTCATCCCCACAGTAGTTTCCCATATTTAATTTCTCCACAACCACTATTTTGCAAAATGGATCGTTGGTATCATTAATTTCCATCTTTCTGCTAAGTTAAGGCCCAGACTTGTAGAAGACTGAATTCCTGTTTGCAGGTAGTCTGTTCTTTCAAAGTGTACCACTTGGAGTAATCCTCAAGACTCACAAGGGTCTGATTTGGCATTTGAGTAAACACTTGCCCAAAACATGTATTTGAGCCTCACTGAAAGTCCAAAATGTCTTTGCAGAGAGAGGAAGAAAGCTGGGCTCGTGGCCAGCTAAAGTGCTTAAATGGCTTGTCCAAGGCTTCCGAGGAAAAAGTGAGCACCAAGATCAGAAAAGAATTTAAAGGCTGGTGATTTTTCTTGTACCTGCTTCCTGTGCTCAGGGAGGAAGATGCAAGCCTAGGCTTGAGTAGGGCAGGTTTGCTTTTGTTGTGTTTGCAACTCTAAGAACGAAACTTTTGTGGTACCACTGTGATTTATGTCGGGAAAGCAATCGACTGGTTTATTGGGGGGGGTTGTGCATTTGTGTATTTTAAAACCACTTCCCAGCAATCTCCTAGCAGCCTTACAGAAGTGCAAGACCTGATGGTGATCAAGAACAAAGTGACACCAGGCGTCAGAAAATGTGCTGCATTTAGTGATGTCAGCATGCAAAATGGAACCAAACAAGTCCAGAGCAGCTATGCCTTTAATGTCAAGGAACATGCTGAGAACTTAGGAAAAATCACATCCAGGCCGTTTTCTGAGAGCGTGCATGTCAGGAGACACGATGCAGGCCATTGGCAAAGAGTCAGCTGCAGGACCGACGTGTCTGGGGTTCTGGCGGGTACACCGCTTCAAAAGACGTTGTAGATAGATGCGCTCTTGCAGTGTTCTGGCAGACAGAAGTTGTGCATGACGGTTGGGGCAGGTTGGAAGGAGTATCCCGAGGGTGTGCAGGTTGTGCTCATTTTCATGACTCTGCTGAGAAGCGTACATCTTGAGGACCAGGGAGGTGTAGCAGTGTGTGTATACTGTCTGAAAACAGCATTCTCTTTGGTGAAAAAAGAATGTGTTCCTTTTTTTTTGGAATGTAAAGAAGGGAATTTGCCGTGTTAGTGGCTGGGGGGGTTTAACCTCACAGCATTGGGCCATCCTGACTGAAGCAGAACTGTGGATGTGGTAGCATTTTGGAAGCAGGTCACCATCTCTGGTAGCATAGAAAGCAAGCTCTTCTTTGGTTTCCCTTGCAGACTTGTCTGTCGATACCTGACATCAAGACAGCATTTAGTGACTGCATTAACAAAATTGGGAAGAGAGACTGCCTGACACAAGCCTGCTCTGCTCTTACTGGGTAAGTGTGAGAATGGATGGTGTTTTGGTTAACCGAGGAGCTGCAGGGTGGCACACGAGCAGAGCAGTGCTATAAGATTCAATAGCCCCTGAAAGGGAGCTGCGCTTCCTTCCCAGCAGTGAGAGATACTTGTTTGCAGACCTTGGACTTGCACCAGGTCAGTAACTTCATCTGTAAATCCCACATATGAAACACAGTGAAAATGTACTCCTGGCTGAGAGCAGCGGGACTTGGAGGCATGTGGAGCTCTTGGTTCTTGTCCTTTATCATCCCTTCTCCGTACACAGTAGTCTTTGCAGTCGTTGGCTTGCTGCAGCTCCTGGCTTTTATGTAAGTCAGTTGAAAATAAAGCTCTTTATGACGCTGCCAGCGAAGTGAGTGGTGTTCTATTGTTGGCGGAGTAATTGTGCTCTTGCTTTCGTATTTTTTTGGCATGTAGATGAGTTTTGTTATGTAGATAATATAACAATCTCCAAGAGTTTTCTTACACTGGGGACGTCTGTGGTTTAAGTTACAGTGGCTAGAACAGACAAAAATTTGGGAGACTGATTCTTCTTCAGGCCCACACAGCTGCACGCCACACAGCTGCACGCCATGACCTTGACCAACCCATTGGATTCTTGATATCTTAGCATCACTATTGCATACGGAGTCTTGCAATACTTTGGTTACACTTTCGGCTCTTTGGGTGAAAAGTGCTATTGGGCATAATTCAAAAGTACTGTTCCAGATGGCTAGAAATACTCCTGTCTGAATTACTGCCTATACTGAATCCAGAGCTTTGAGTTTTCTTCTTTTTTTAATCTAGCAAGAAAGCTGGATTATTATACAGGCTACTGCAAAGGATAAGAAAAGCTCCTTAAACCACGAGAAAAATCTCTGTTGTCTGCACTGCTAAGAATCAAATGCCATTAAGCATACGAGTGACCACAAAAACAAGAACAATGGTTAAGCACTGACTGGAAGAGAAGTATTAGATAATAATCTTATGAAATGCAACCTTTTCAGTTGTTGTGGGGTTGGTACAAACACTTCCAGTTTTGATCTGTGTGAATGTCCTTTCAAAATTTCAGTTTGAGTTTGCACTAAAAAAAAAAAATCAATTGTGGAAGTCCTGAGTGGGAGGCGTGCAGACCAGTGAGTTGGTGACTTGCTTGGCAGCCCCAGCACAGACGATTACAGAAAGCTGGAGCCCGGAGTGGAAGATCTGATACAACTAGCCCGAGGCTTGTAGCAAAATAACCTCAAACCAGCTGACTGTCAAGTGGTTTGATGCTTGTTCATCCCAAGGTTTCCACAGAGTTGATGACTAACAAAATTGGATGTAGACTTGTACAGACACCAGAAAAATAAAGGATGGAGTTCACATACCGAGTTCAAAGAAATCAGATCCCCATTGTTTGTGTGTATGAGAAACTAACGTAGCAATGCCCATAAATAACTGCAGGGCAGAACCCTTCACTTCCTCTTGTGAGGGCTCAACTAGGGACTACGTGAGCCATGGTTTTGTTCTTGTTTGTTTGTTGGTTGTTGGTTGTTTTTTTTTTTTTTAAATCGTGTCTATTTATCTTATTTCCTTAGCAAAGGAGTGAACGAGGGAATTGAATGGATGGTGAAGTGCGTGGTGAGGAATATTCACCGGCCCCCAAGAAAGAAGGACATCACGTAAGAAATTCGAAGTCAGCCAAGGAACGGACAGTCTTTTTCCACACAGTTTTGTGTTCTCTTTAAAGAAGGTGGTCCACTGGATTCCTATTACACCTGATTCTTTCCTAAGTTTGAAGACAAACGTTCTCTTTCTGTGTCTAAAAAACTTGAGCAAAGGATTCCAACTGGGTGGGGGGCGGGAATCTCTTCCATTAAGTATTAAGTCGTTGGCCTGAGAGCATAGACCGAGTGGCAATCTACACATCGTTGCAGATGCAAAGGACTTAATTTTCTACCGTATTACTTTGTGATTCTTGATTTGTTAGTCTAACAGGCTGGAGGCCAGTGACATGAAGGAATTCCTGAAGGAACTGTGTAGGTGAATATGAAAGGGGAGGGAGAGCCTGGGGAACGGCTGTCCCTTCTAACTGAGAAGACACCTTGCTGCCCCAGCCCCATGGTTACTGTAGGTGGTGTTACCGGCCCTGTTATGCTGCTGTTTGTATAATGGGGAGAGACAGTGTTGATTATAACCCAATTTTCTGTCAGCATGTTGATTTGTAACTTTTACCTCTGGTAAACGCAGATACGGAAGCCAGCCACGATGGTACACTGGTTCAGATGGGTGTTCTTAACAGGACGTGAAGGCCAGAAGCACTGCCTTGCTTTGACTGCCAATCTCTCTGTTGTGCGTTCTCTTTAATCCTAAGAATAATTGGTATCTTCTGTAACTGGAATGAATTGAGGCCCTCTCTGTGATATTTCTAGGCCGAGAGCTGAACCTCTAGGCAGGGAGAAATCATTATGCAATAAAGCTTCCTACTGCTTTGAACGTCTCTTGCTGACACAACTGATGTTCAGAAATAGTGGTGCTTAGCCCTCTAGTTTTTTGAAATGCAAGAAAGAACAGAAAGGCAGCTCTCAACGTCAAATAGTGCTCACTTCTTATGTAGCCTACCCAGCCAGTAATTCTGCTGACGTATCACTAACATTTCTCCAAATATCTCTTTTTACGTGTATTTTACAGTGGTTTGGCAGTGGGTGTTGCTCTTTGCATGTTTTAGTTACTCCTGGCACTGGTGACCATCCTGTGCTGTTTGCTCCCGTAACTAAGGGGACATCATTCAAGCTCTATTTGAGCAAGTTAGACAGCAGTGTTTGTTTAAAGATACATTATCTGGCATCTGTCAAAGAACTTTCTGCTAAATTTTCTGTGTGCAACTCAGTGCAGATTTTTTTTTTGCACAAGAACATAATTCATTCCCTCACATTTGGGTCAAATTGTGAGGGCAGCTGGGCTGTGTCGTCAAGCACATGAAGTCAGTGGAAATAATTGCATACTGGAGAGCAGAATGTTTCTTCTCAGTAATGCTAGGATGGGAGAAGACTAGCCAAACTGTCCGATAAGATCTCAAATCCCTTTCAATTACTTGCTATTGTTAGAACAGGCGGTATAAAACAATACGCGAGCTTGCACTTGAATGGTGCCAATGTCAGTGCCACATCCCAGAAGTAAACTGCGGTAGATCTAACTCAGACACCAGCGGTTTCGTGAGGCTCCTCCAGACCTAGTGACCCATCTCGGGTTTCTTAGGCACTTTGTGAACGCAGGGGATCCCTTGAGGATCGCTCACCTACTGTAAGAAGTGGCACTTTCTCTGGGTGCTGCGTGTGATGCAGGGCTGAGAGTTTCAAACGTACAAGTGCCGGATACCCAGTGGCCATTGATGAGAGGGGAAATCTCTCTCACTTGGCCATCTCTGAAAGCCTGAGTATTTTCAAGGTATCTCTGTGGTCCTGGCTCTTGTTTTGGTTGGCAGGGGTGGTGCTAACAATGAAACTGAAGACACAAAACAGTGACCCGTGGACAAAGGTGCCTTGCTGAGAGACAAAACACTTCAGTCGAGTAACTCGCAATGTCTGTTTAATGGGACACGGGGTTTTCCAAGCTTTCCACATATTCTTCTCAGATCTCTTCCTCTCCCTATTCCCTAGGAGACCAGAGAGGAAAAACAGTTTTGAGCTCGAGGCCATAGCTGTTCTCACATGTTTCTAGACACAAAGACTGCTTTGTGGTACATATCAGCAGGAGGTCCTGAATTAAAGCAAACGTTTTGACTTTGGAATTCCAAGTTCGCAAGAGTGGGAGAGTCTTTCACCCAGAAAGATGCACCAGCTGTGATACATAAGTACGAACATGCTCTGATGTCTGCAAAAAATCAGGGAAGATTTCTCTGAAAGCAGCAGCGAAAGGTTCGGTGTCATTCAGGGTTAGCTTCTAGAGCAGTAACAGCAGTTACTCGGTGGGGCACACAGATGCAGCTGCTTGGCTCCCAAAGTCTGTTTTAGGAAAGAGCTTCGGAGTCAGGGTTTTCCACCATTACAGATAAAGTGCACCTACTTGATACTATCGGAAGATTTCCTGAGTGCTGGGGAAGCCCAGCAGGTAAACAACGCAGCCAATTACTGAATTGCTTTGGTGTGTCCTCCGTGCCGCAGCATGAGTGCAATGAAGCTGACAGATGCAAGATAAAGATCTTGCTGTGGAAGCACAACCTGGACTTGGATCTTGCTGATCATGTACCGAGTGCAGTTACTTCACACGAAGCGCAAAGGCAAAGGCATGCTGCTAAGTCAGCCGGGGTTTTTGGTTGCATCTGCTCTATATGGTCATAAATGGCTCCACAAGGACACCGGTGACGTCCTCCTTCAGCTGGTTTTATTGCAGCTTCAGTCTCTGTAAGCAGGTCTGCTCTGCTAAGGATGCCTCCGTACAGAGCAGTGCCACAGGACCCGCCTGCCATGGAAAAGCCTTCTGAGAAGGGATGGTAGTCGATGCATAAGCACCACTAAAAAAAGGTCCCACTGGAATAGTCTAAGATGATATACTGGTAGCTGGTAACTACTCTGTATTTTGATCAGTAGTTTAATCAGTAATTTATCATATTTTAGACTTGTGCTTTATTTAAGGCCTTACAGGAAGCACAGACTTCCATTTAAAATGCTTTTGCATTGCAAGTGGCCCCCGCAAGACCTCCAACCAAAGCGAGGACGTTCCTGAGTAGTTCAAATGTAATCAGTTTTTCAGATTTTTGGTACATTTGAGAGGAACCTGTTTTGCCCATGCCCGTTTACAGCCTTTTATCTCTCTGAAGAGGTGCTTTATCTTCCCAAGGTGAAAGTTTCATCATCCGCACTTAGGAATCACTTTTTCCTTTAGTGTGCTTTACACTGAGAGAAAGCTAAGTGTCTAACAAGCATGGTAGTTATGCTACTTGCCTTATTTGACCATTGGCAGAAGATTAACTTTCTCTTACCTGTCTGGAATTTCCCTGCCTTGCAAATATTTATTAGCTGTTAGCAGCGGGAGGCAAGAACATTCCTTAAAAAAACCCAAACCCCACTTCTAATGCTTTTGAGTACTCTCTGAATCACCGTGCTGTCCACGTGGTGGCAATTTCATCTTCATCTGGAACTCTGGAAAGACGCAAGAACTGAGTTACAGCACTTTTTGCTGGCAGTACCTAATGCCATCCCACGGATTACGCCGTGCCGCAATTAACACGGTGACGTGTTAGCCTTGCTGCAACGGCCTGACGATCTGCTTCGCAGCGATGCTGATGTCAGATCTTATCCCGCTCGCCATGACATCCCGTCCCACAAAACCAGGGGAAAGAGCAGGACAAATCAGACCCAGCTTCGTCCTGAGTCCAGCATCTTATTTAAGGCTCTGGCCAGTGCCATCCGTGTTGGAGCAGGTGAAGCAGCGAGCCGGAGGCCTGCATGGGGCGTATGCCCCCGGCCATCCTTCCTGCTCTCTGCTCAGCTGAAATCAGCCTATAACAGAGAATTGGCCTTAAAAGCCTTTCCAGTGCTGTAGGGTTTTATTCCCAATCGAGCTATTTTTAGTCTCTTTTTCCTTATAATCCTACATCTGTACTGCTGACACATCCTATAACATCGTTTGTACACCGCCACGTCCAGCACATCCATCAGTTCATTTAAGGTAAGGATCTGCCTTTACACATTACAGATAGCAATCATCTCAAGTGAAAGGGCACTTCACTGCAAGCCTGGAAGCTTGCTTCTCCTCAGTGACGATGGTTTAGCTGGGCATGAGACCGGCGGGTTACTCATGGTTTCCAGAAGTGCGTGCTGATGAATAACTATGAGGTCCCATTGTGGGCTTGGACGATGGAAGGTTACATCAGTCCTCAGCTAAAAACCTGGATTAAAGTACCTGAAGGTTCCTGAATTCCTTTAGGCATTTAATTATTTTTGAGACAGTATCCTGGGACTTCTCTGGTATTAGTCCAAGGAGAGGACTTCTAAAGGGATCTGCTAAGAAAGGCAAAGAGTGGTGCTGTCGCTGGTCTCGACCATTATCCCTTTAAATTAAAAAAAAAGTCTGATTAATGCAGATGGTGACAGGCTGGCAGCCACCGACGGCAGTGTCCACGCATGAAGGAAGGTGGGTTCTGCCTCTGCCTGCAGCTCTGCTTGTGCTCCTCAGCTGTCCCCAAAAGCAGCACCGTGGACTGGGTTCGCCCACAATCTTGGGCCCGTTTTCAGAGACTGAAAGAAATTACTCCCGAGGGTGTGTTTGCCTATAGCAAAAGCAATTTGGGCAATCAAGAAAAACAGGCTGAACTGGCCCTGCCACAGAGACAGGTTATAGGCTGGGTGCCCTCTGAAAAAAATCCCTTTTGGCCCAGTTTTCTATTAAAATTTGGCTCAAATCTCTCTCCAGGGACCTACGAGGCAGCGGAGAGCTGGCCCTAGCCTTTGCCCTCTGCCGAGCTCTCCTCAGGACGAAGGATGCCAGAGCAACTACAGCAGGTGCTTTTTCATGCTGGAATTTTATACAAGTTGGAAATCCCACACGAAACATTCCGGGTGTTTAACACACATTATTTTGTTTGCTGGACCTCAGGCATTTCCTGCAGCATTTCCCTTTGGTTTTGTTTCATGTGCTTCTGAATCCCTTAAAGAATTGTTTTTCTGCTCCTCTGGTAAAACCAGCTTCCATGACAACTGTCGGGGGCTTTCCATTAGTCTCTTTACGCATGCTTAGGCTTTTTTATATCCAAAACCAGTTCAGAAGGCCACAGTCGCAGCTGTAGGTA